TTCAGTGGTGAGCTCTTAAATAAAAGAACTTCTAAAAATGTATAATCTCGCATGTAGAATTACTAGTGGGACTCTCAGCTGAAGTTCTAATTCATAATCAATTGTTGAAAAACATAACTAATGATTTGCCTGGAAGATAATGAGTTTTAATGAAGTTTTAATGTGAAAACAAAATAAAATATTTTCTTTCTTTTTTGGTTCAGGGGGAACTCTGGCCAATTTGTGGACTACCTAGTCCATAATGCAACTTGACGACTTTGAGTGTGATGGTAATGAGAGAACTCTAGCAAACTCAGGTTCTGACTTAGGTAGCCATGGCAACCAAAAGTTTCAGTCAATAGGCTTTGATCTTGAATATGAGAGGGTCGTGTCTGATTGCTGTGCACAATCTTTTGCCAAAAACAAAAAGAGAGGTCAAAACATTCTTGAGGAAGCACTTCAAAGTATGCATGCCTTCAGAAATGCCTATGGGTCTCAATACTGGAAATTCCCATCTTTGATCAGACTGAACAACTCAAACTCTAGAGTTACTGGCTTGAAGTCTTGAACACTAATGCAAGATTATGTGAGTCTTTGTTATAAAGTTTCCATTAGAAGCTTTAATTTGAGCCACTAAAACTTGGCATGGAAGCTTGAATCTTGGAAAGGTTCAAGGATTAGTGCTATCACTCTGGACAAAATGGCTCTACCACGGGATGTTTATTTACCCTTTGGTCGTTCTACCACCCTAGACACCATGCAAATTAAGAGCCCATTGGTACTAATAAGGAAGCATGTATATGTAGTCATGTACAATGTCTTCAAAGCCCAGTGTACGTGCTATGTAAAGAATATATCTTTTAAAAGCCCTATTGATTTCAAAGGAACAGTTACGAATATGCTTATCTATCTCCCACAGAAATTGCTGAGGCTTAAAACTGTGTTATTACCTTGGATAGTGCTCTAAATGTATTATACTCAGTGTCTCTCCCCCCCCCCCAAATGTTTAGGGGTACTCTCATTTTGACTCAAGAAAATCACCATTTTATAGTTCAAATCGGGGAAAATAAATACAGTAAATGGACAAAAGTACAAAGACTCACAAAATGTTTAGGTGTATGTGTACCCCTGCGTCCCCCCAGGAAAAAAAGCACTGATTATACTTTATCCTTGATTGATTCTGAGAAGAATATGAGACATGGCTACCCCTTTCATGCAATCATGAGAAGGGGGCTAAGGCCAAACTTTTTAACCTAATGGCACCTACAGTCCAACAGTAGCCCGATTGTCCTGGTAATTCAGAGGTTGTGTTGGAGTCACCCAAGTTTGATTCTCCCCTCTTTCCCCAGCCCACTGTTGACCCAATGGAAGCAAAGGAAAAGCAAGAGATAAAGAGAAGGCCTGACTTTGCTCTCTGTGAAATCAGTGGTCAGATTGCTTTTGATATTCATGAACAAAGAATTGTGCCTAAGGCAGGGAGGATGAATCCATAGGCTTGTCTCAAGCCTTGTCAATATTTTGTTCTTTCACAGCATTTATTTTCCCCTCTTCATTCACATTGATCCATTATTCTTCAGAGTGTGAAATTTGAACAGTATAGAGGCAACAGAAGGCAATTCATTCCACAGGCGGTGGTAGCAGAACCCAGGTATTTGGCTTAAGAGAGTAACTTCCCCTTTAGGTGCAGAGAGCTCACTCTTCCACTTTTCCTGTGGTTCTCAAGAAGCTTGGGCATCAAAAGGCCACACCCTCTTCAAACCAATGCGGGTGGAGTATTGGTCATATTGCCAATCTGAAGAACCACCAGGGACAGAAGCTGGAGCTTGGTGGTGGAATCTAGGCATTATGCATTTCAGGCAGTAGATCAGGAATGGCCCTCCATTAGACAGAGTGGGTTAAGTGCTTCAGATGGCAGATGCTGGGAGGCAGTGGTGGCCATGCCCCTGCTTTTTCTCCTGAGCCCTCTGGCTGTACTCTTCTGTGGAAGCATACAGCTCTGTCTTCCACGAGGCCATGAATGTCCCCATAACTGTCCTGCTTCCTCAGATGAAATACAGAAAACAACCCTGTTGCTGATACTAAGTAAAGTTCAACTTCGGCTGTAGTCATAGAGCTAGAATGGAGGCAACTTCTTGTCCGTTGCCCCAAGTAGCACAGTTCCTTTGGACCAGCCCTGTGTTGGATTCAATCCTAACATTGATGTGAGGAAAGGGGCAGAGCAACCAACATTGGACTAGAGAAATAAATTGTTCTATGCACTTTTTATCCTCAGAACTGGCCCTAAAGACTTTGGTAAAGGACAAGATAGTGTCCTCATTCCATGTACAGAAGCTGACTGGACTGGTAGGTGATTCTTACTTCAACATTGACATAAAACCAAGTCCTTCACCACATTCTTCTGTTTTATTAACAGAGTTGTGAACTGCCCTGGGATCTTTGGATGAAGCGGCAGCAGCGGCAGTGACAGCAGCAGCAGCAACAGCAGGATTGTGTGTGGCAAAGGTAAACTTAAAAGGTACAAGGAGCCCTGTGGCACACATAGCTCTGTCCTTGAGCACTTCAACATCACTCCCTGCTCTCCCAACCCAGCATCTGCTGCCTGAGGCAGCTATTTCACCTTGCCTAATGGTAGGGCTGGCCCAGTTTATCCTGCACTGCATCCATCCTTGCTTAGTTCCGTAGTCTTGCTGTTTTCCCAATCCTTCTTGTTCTCTCTTGGAAACAGAGACAAAATTAATGAGGAAGCTATTTCGATCCAGTGCACAGGGAGCCTCCAAATCCACAAAGAATTGGATCAAGGCAAGCATGTTTAGCTTTTGGTCACTGATCCTGCAAACTCCATATACAGTAATTGCCCCATGGATTCTTCCATTATTGTCACAGCATTTGATAATTAGGACCTCTGAGTGTCATCCTCACTAATACTGCTGGAACTACATGCCATTAACGGAGATATTCATTATAATAGCTCCAAAGGAACCATAACCATGTATCTTGGCATCTAACTTGCCTGGCTAATTCTCTTTGTGCCCTCGTGCTGTAGATACACTTAGAAATCACGATCCAGCATCATATCAGTGCTTCTGCCTTATTAATACGTTTTCCTATGGTGTCTTGCAACCCAAGATACGAGACTGCCTCGAGGATGCACTGAGGTATGTCAAGGTTAAGTACGTTTTACAGCACCTCAGAGATGTAAATTAAAATGGAAGTGCCTGGGAAGAAATTATAGCCCTCTCATGCCTGTCTTACTACCAGTGCTAGTGCTGGGTGTTGTTTCTTTTAAACGCTTTTAAAAAGGCAATTACACTTGTTTAAGAATGAAGATTTGCTCCAGCACAATAATCTAGGGCACCTGTGGCAGTATTGGCACTCTCATCATCTGCTTAAAGAGGAACAGAAGAAAACCCCCTGCCAGCATAGTTCCCAGGGGCTCAACAGTGACTGACACTGTAATGGAATCAGTGGCTGCACCTGGGTGGAGAATAGAGGCGGGGAACTTCAGGCAGAATGTGAGCCCTCAGGACTCTCTATCTGCCCCTTGAGACTCTTCCCAGTCCACACCCTCTATTCAACAGGCCACACTGCTTAATGGCCCTGCACTCTATCCTCTTCAAGTGCTTTTGCCTGGCTGGAATGTTGTCTTTGGTCTATAATAATTCTTTTTACTTTCCTGGATGGAGTGAGGTGTCTGGGGATGCAAGGACTGGTCCACCTCAGCCAACAAGCTGAATGGAAATTTGAACCTACTCTTCAGTCAGCACTTTACATCACACACATGGTAACAGCTCCTCATGCCAGCACAATCCTTACTGGAAATTGAGGCACTGTGGGGTATGAAGGAGCTGCAGTGTGGGCTGCTGCCATGTAACACAGGTGGCGCTGTGGTCTAAACCACTGAGCCTCTTGGGTTTGCTGATCGGAAGGTTGGCTGTTTGAATCCCCACGACGGAGTGAGCTCCTGTTGCTCTGTCCCAGTTCCTGCCAACCTAGTGGTTTGAAAGTACACCAGTGCAAGTAGAGAAATAGGTACCACTGTGGCAGGAAGGTAAATGGCGTTTCCGTGTGCTCTGGTTTCCATCACGGTGTTCTGTTGCGCCAGAAGCCACATGACCTGAAAAGCTGTTTGAGGACAAACGCCAGCTCCCTCGGCCTGAAAGCGAGATGAGCGCCGCAACCCCATAAGGGCTCCTCACACTACTTATGTGGGGCGGAACCGCCAGCTTCTGAAGAAGAATGGGGGACAGCAGGGTGTGTGTGGCGCATGACGTCACACATGTGACTTCCCAACATTGTACGCATGATGTCAGGACATTGGAGGAGCTGGGGGCTGAGCTGAGCGAATTGGCTGAGCTGAGCGTGTACATGGGTTCAACGGCTGTGGTTCCTCTTCCTCCTGCCCCCGCCATCAGCTGCTTCCTGCCTCCTTCCCCTCCACTGCAGGAAGAGAAAGAGGAGCCACAACCATTGAAGCCATGCTGCACTTGGCTACGTGCTTGGCTTCCTCAGCTCCTGGAGCTGCTTCCTTTGGACTTTGTGGGGGCCCTGCTCCCCCCCATGCCCTCCCTCCAAAGGGCTCAGCCTCAAGGGGATGGTGCACCTGATGTGGGGCACGAAGGAACTGCCATGTTCATGCTGTAAAAACAATGGGCAAATAAGAAGCATACAATTATACTTGTCTTAGGACATTGATAGTCCGTGTGGTTAGCATGTCAGGCTAGAACCTGGGAGAGCAGGATTCCAATCCCCATTTGGCCATGAAGGTGACCGTGAGCCAGTTCCTGCCTCTCAGCCCAACCTACCTCACAGGTTTGTGGAGATTAAACAAGGACCGGGAGAACCATGTATGCCACCTTGAATTCCTTGGAGAAAAGGGTGGGATATTGATGCAATAAATTAAATACATAAATATGCTGAATCCGCTGTACACTTATAATGAGTGAGACCACTGGCCCATCTAGTCCAGTTTTGTCTGCACTGACTGGCAGTGGCTATCCAGGGTTTTAAGCAGACGCCTTTCCCAGTCCTACCAGGGATTGAACCTCATGCCTTCTGCATACAAAGCAGACATTATACTACTAAGCTACAGCCCTTTACCATAGAAATATCCAGTTATGAGCCTTGTAGTATGTGTGTGTATGTGTTTGCTTATGTTTTTGTTAGTTTGTATGATCTCATACAAATACACTACAAGGAATTAGATTAGGGGGTCTTTTGTAAATTGCACTGTAGTTAACAGGCTAATTTAATGAAAATCCGTCTACTTGTGTGGTGAATGGCCAGATCAATTGTAAGATCACCTCATTATGGTCTGAAAAAAAATCAATCTGGCTGCACACCAGAACAATCAGACGATTACCTTGGCACACAGTCAGATGTAATGAGCACAGAATTCACCATTTGGCTCGAGCCAATTTTCTGTCTCATCATTCAACCCTGGAGCATTCCTTGCCTAATCTGGTGAGTCACGTTGACTGTCTGAAACCACCAAGCTGTGTCCATATTTTCAGGGGGAAATAAATGAATTTACAGCCCACAGAGAGAACAAATGTCTCCGCTTATTTATACAAACCTCACAGACAACGAAGTAAAGTCCTTGACACATTTCACTTAAGCAAGCAATAAAAAGAAGAAAAAACTTTGTGAAATTAAGGCTGCGCTGAATGTTTCCCTATTTCAATGTTTGGGTCAAAAGTTCTGCTTTTAAGAGGACAGAAATATTCCCCAACCGACCCTTTTATAAGGCTGCCTTTGTTTCCCCTATCTGATGATGCGTCAGAATAATGTTTCTGAGTGAGGACTTCTGCCTCTTGCCTAGAGTAGTCCTAGGCAATTGGGCGTCATGGCATCACAACAATACATTGACAATTGCCTTTACAGCTATGTGCTGACATCATTGTAGGCAAACTAAGCCCATTCAGGGAAACAGAGAGTGAGAGAGAGATCACTGCTTCCTGAACCACTTCATTTGCATTTGAAATATCACTGAGGAGGAGTGCACTCTGAAATACTGATAGAAATATTCACAAAAGTCAAGCCACTTTCAATCAGGGATGGAGAACCTACACCAGGTAAAGGATTGGATTTGAACTTGATCAACTTTCAAGTTCCACATTCCAACAGTGGGCTGGACAAATGTGGGTAGGGCAAAAGAACAGGGACAGATTTAGGGATGTGCGCATACACTGGACGCTGAGCCGAGGGGGGCACCAACTCAAAGCCCAGTAAGTGAGGTGCTGGGCTTTGGGCAGGAGGTATGAGGCTCTGGTAAGGTCCTAGAGTCCTCCCTCCTCCTTCCTAAAGCCCAATTAGTGCTTTCCCAGCTTTGGGAAGGAAGGTGCTAGGAGTCTTTGTGCCTGGTGGGCCACATTGAGGGATGTGGTGGGCCAGAGGTGTTTTAAGTGAACTGTGTTTGGTATTGGTATTGTAGCATAACTTAGTGAAGATTAATATCATGTTTGCATTAAATTGGATAATTAAAACTCCATTCCAATCCTTTGCAGTTGCAGGTTAAGCATGTGTTGAGCTCAAGGAAGGAGGAACATGAAGCCTGTTTACCTGCTCTACTTGTGTATATTTATTTCAGAAGTGAGTTTCACCAGATTCAATGCAATCTGATCCCAAATAAGAGTACTTTATGTCCATGCTGCACAATAACGTCTGTTGATGCAGAAGGCTCTTCCACTGAGGTTGATGGCATATATTCCCTAAAAAGTGTATTTAGGATGACAGCCTTTGTGTGCCTATTCAGGAGTACTGTAAACCCCACAAAGTTCAACTGGGACTACTTCTAGGTAAGTTGAAATAGGATCACAGCCTTAGTGTACTGAACACTGAACTGATCATCATGCATTTACATAGGGGGAACAAAAGCAATCTGCGACTGATCTGCGGAAGTGGAAGGAAAAGCTTCAGTTCTAGAGTCAAAGGGGGAGTATTACAGCTGCCAGAAAACTCTTTCCCTTTTCATCTTGAAGCTTGTTCTACATCTGGGACCTCTTCCCAAATGTGTCTTTTGCTGACAGGCAAGTAAATCCATCAGGCTGAACCCTCAAGCTACATGCATACAAGAGCCACTTTGTTCCTCTTCTCTTCCCCTGCTGAACACTTTAAATCCCTGTAATTCTGAGGCTGCAGTTATGAAACCATGCTTCAGATGTGTATACATTTCAGAAGGGCTACCCATAAGCAAGTTGACTTATGCTGAAACCCGATCTGCGTCTACTCAGAATGTAAGTCCCATTGGGTACAGGAATGCAACCTCAGCATGGTGTGCAGTCAAAGTGTTTTAGTGATTAGAGGGTCAGAAGAGAGACCTGGGTTCAAATCCCCACTAATCCATGAAGCTCACTGGGTGGCTCTGGGGCAACCACTATCTTTCATTATCACGCATATCACTGGGTAGTTGCAATGATACAATGGTGAATCCTGTATTGAGGTCCTTGGAGGAAAGGTGGAATGTAGAGATACTAAATGAGCACTCCCTAGCCTGATACTCTGAACTAAACTACAACTTCAGCCCCAGCTGGCATGGCCAATGATCAGGGATGTTGGGAGTTGTGGTCCAAAACACCTAGAAAAGCACAAAGGAGTTATTCTTTATTGTTTTGGGATTCTAGTGGTAATATTTGTTTTTTTAGGCTCATTAGGTGAGCATATCAAGGAATCAGAAGTGAGTAAAAGCTAACGTTCTGTATTTCAGCAGAGCTAGTTCAAGCAACCTTTCTTCACTTGATGATTGGAGTGGTCACTGCCTTGTGCGAATGAGCCATCAGAGGTATAACAACAGAAGGAGACTATGTTGCTTGCCATCAATTAAAATACAACACTTTTCAGTGGAATTCATTCGTATGTTATTGTTATTTATACCCGCAGGTCTCAGCTACCCGCAGGTTTCAGCTACAAGTGATCAAGCACAGAGTTCTGCACTTATCTCAATAAGAAATACAAAGAAAATACAGACTTCCTAATTGCTACCAGCTCTTTCTTGATCAGTAGTGGACTACTCCATGGTAGATGAATGAAGTAATGTGGGACATACATGCAAAGCAGCCTACAGTTCTAGCCAATTCTGTTGCAATCAAAACACTCGATCAGGTTACCACTATGGCTACTATACTTAATGTTTATTAAGTGCCAATGATGTGTTGAGGGCTGTGGAGCACACAGAAGCAGCAAGGGTGCCTGTCCAGGTGTTCAGTGGAAGAAACTGTGAAGGGGTGTGCATTGGCGGGGTGGGGAGGCACACAAAAATTAGACATGAAAAGCGGAGCGAGGATGAACATAGGCAAAGAGGAAGTTGGTTTGAAATAGGCAGAAAATTCAACACATCAGAAGGCACGAAGGTAGATGAGAGGGCAGAGAAAAGCTGTTGGGGAGCATTCAGAGACTGAACCTGGCATCTTCTGCACCAAAGTACATGCTCTGCCACTCGGCTGTGGATGGATGGGCAGATTCGCCAATTGCAGCTTCTCCCTGTTTCTCATCTTTCCAATCTTAAGTTTGCTTCTCCACATTTTAACATCAGTTTGTGATTTATTTAGTTTTAAATATCCACCTGAAAATTCATCAGGATTTGAGTATGAACTTCTAAATATACAGTGGTACCTCGGGTTACATACGCTTCAGGTTACATACGCTTCAGGTTACAGACTCCGCTAACCCAGAAATAGTGCTTCAGGTTAAGAACTTTGCTTCAGGATGAGAACAGAAATCGTACTCCGGCGGCACGGCAGCAGCAGGAGGCCCCATTAGCTTAAAGTGGTGCTTCAGGTTAAGAACATTTTCAGGTTAAGAACGGACTTCCAGAACGAATTAAGTACTTAACCTGAGGTACCACTGTATGCATATTTGTATGATTTTTTTGCTGAATAAACACATTTTTGCAAATCATTTTTCCTAATATAATTGGTGTCTGTGTGCTGTTTTCATTAGTATATGCATGTTTAAGCACACTTTAACCTAATACGGTGTGTGTGAAGCTTTTCCACTTAGCCAAGATCTTTACCTTCACAAGCCCTGTGGGCCATGTTTGACAGATGAGTGGGGACCCACACCTGTCAGTCACCTGATGTCATTACGACATCTGATGGCAACACCTTTGAAGTGTGCTTCCAAATGGTTTCTATTGAAACAAACTTCAGAATGGTTCTTCTCAAAGTCCATCAGCTAATGGGCACTGAGAGACATTGTCTTGAGTGAGTGCTAGGCACAGGTTTAACTTTTCCTCCTTGAAATCAATGGAACTTTAACAACTGCTGAACTCTGGCTGGATCAAGCCCTCAAAAAACAGCATTGGGATCTGGCAATAATCAAGAGCAGAGCTGTAAATAAATAGCTAATCTACCATTTACTCTCCCCCCCCCCTTACAGTAATGGGGTTGCACCTCTCCAAGCTGCAGTAATGTGCACCCTTTCCACCTCCCTCAATCAAATAAAGTATTTAAAAATCTTGCAGGCACTGTTGAATACTTTCATATAATAAAGATGAGGGCAGATATCTCCATGGCACAGCACGTGCTTTGCATGCACATGATTGCACATTAAATCTTTGGGATCGCCAATTAAGGATCTCAGAGAAATTCTGATTGATGGTCTGTTGCTAGCCAGAACTGGTCTAGAGGCAGCTTCTTATATTCATAAGAATGCCTATATTTCAAATATGTGTTTCCTAATTTGATAGTGATATAAAATGGTTTTGCATGCTTTTCAATCTCCCTGCATAGTGGGTGAATTTTCAAAACCCTCTTATCAAGCAATTCTGCATAAAACATGGAAGCTAGATGTGGTTCACATAGACCTCCACCGGGCATCCATCTTGGAAAACAGCATGAGCCTTCAAGCATGCTCAGTCTTAACTTGCCTAAACATATGAATCTGTCCTTAGGTGACTAGCTGGCAACAACGTAAGTTTATCTTGCACACCATACTCCTCCTGAAGTAGAAGCTTGTTAGTTTGCTTCAGAAAAGACCCGTGTGACTTGAGTAGGCAGCATGGCTGCAATTTAAAACAATCACATGAGTTTGAAATGATCTGCTACTTGAGAAGTTATGGGTCAAGGGAGAGGAAAGAGCTGTCTAATCCCAGCACATTATATATTGAGGTCAGCTTCTTAGTACAGTTGGAATAGATTGAGGCCAACTGCATTGTATCCATTTATTTGTAGGGAAGGAATTCTATAGTCCAGGAGTGGCTAATCTGAAGTCCTACAGATATTGTTGGACTACAGCTCTTATCCTCTGTGAACGTTAGTCATATTCTCTGGGGCTGATGGGTCATATTCTCTGATGAGCTACAGATTAACCACCTCTGCTATAGTCTCCCTATTAGCTCAGTCGGTAGAGCATGAGAATCTTAATCTCAGGGTTGTGGGTTCGAGCCCCATATTGGGCAAAAGATTCCTGCATTACAGGGGATTGGACTAGATGACCCTCCAGAGATTGCAACAGAGAACAAATAGTGTTTTTCTCCAATGTGACTATAGCCAGGAGCTGGTAACTCATCTGCACACTGCTCTGGGTCCAAGCCATTGAGGTTGTTGTTGCTTAGTCATTTAGCCGTGTCTGACTCTTCGTGACCCCATGGACCAGAGCACGCCAGGCACTCCTGTCTTCCACTGCCTCCTGCAGTTTGTCAAACTCATGTTAGTAGCTTCGAGAACACTGTCCAACCATCTCGTCCTCTTTCATTCCCTTCTCCTTGTGCCCTCAATCTTTCCCAGCATCAGGGTCTTTTCCAGGGAGTCTTCTCTTCTCATGAGGTGGCCAAAGTATTGGAGCCTAAGCTTCAGGATCTGTCCTTCCAGTGAGCACTCAGGGCTGATTTCCTTCAGAATGGATAGGTTTGATCTTCTTGCAGTCCATGGGACTCTCAAGAGTCTCCTCTAGCACCATAATTCAAAAGCATCAATTCTTCAGTGATGGTACCTGGTCTGAAAATAGGTGGTGACCAGAAATGACATCACTTATGGATGCCATCAGCTCAGACACACAGGAAAGCAAGCACCAGTCCGGACAGCACTTGAAATGTGAGGCTGTCCAGTATGAAAGTGGACCTCTCTGGTAGCACAGTCTTATAAATGTCTACTCATAAGCACATTCAGTTTGTCTGACTCTCCAGTTTAGTGGATATAGGGTTGCAACCTAAAGTCCTGATATGACAGGGCACAGGAAATTCAGCCTAAAGTTACTGATCCCTGCAGCCAAGGTAATGTCTAGACCAGCTCTTATTGCTGTGTTTGAAGTGTTCCTTTGTCTCGGTGCACACCAATAACTCCCACTAGACATGGCTCTCACTTAAACCTTCTCCCTTTCCTTTCCCCCTCCTTCATTCCTATCCATAGTTTTGATAATTAGTGCCAAAAACATTCCACCTCAGAACCTTGCACGGGCTTTATTCATGATCTCATCAGCACTGATAACGATCACATTAACATCCCAAGCCAGACATGGAGACAGAGAATGCCAGTAGAATGCTGGAACGGTAAAATATATGCAATTCCTGGCTCACTAGGTTACACTTCTGAACCCAGAAAGAGCCACCCAATGGCTGCCAAACTGTCAACAGAAGAAGGTTTAAGGAAGGAGATGTAAGAATCTGTGATAACTGACAGTTAGTGACAAGTTTTCTCTTGAGGAGATGGATAATTGTAACTCTCACCAGAAAATTGCAATAAATATTTTACAGGTCTGCAGTGAAAGTGTGATGCTTGAAGAATGAGTGTCCAGGGACCACAGTCTGACATTTTGCTGCATTTTGCCTGGGCAATTTTAATATTTTTATTCTATAAGCTGTGATTGATTTTTATGGTCCGTGGTTAATTTAAATGGGGACGAATGGAATGCTGGAGTTCTCAAGGCTGTAAGAGATAAATAATATAAGTTTACATACTTATAAAATCTGCCTCGAGTATAAGTGATTTCTGGAAATCAGAATGTGCTGAATGATTTTTTTAAAAAAAGTTTGAAGAATGCTTTTGGCAGTATTAACTCTATGGAAGCCATGTCTCCCTGAACCAGGATCCATACAGGATCCACTTTGGTGGTTACAAGGAAGGACAACAGCACAATATCTGTGGTGCAGGGTCTTCTCTGACATGATAAACCATTATAGCAACTCTCTCCCTCTCCCTCTTTCTGGAAAGCTGAAATAAAAGTAGATATATTGGGTGATGTTCAATTAAGCTTTACTCAGTGTAGATCCCTCAAAATTAATGCACCTAACTTAGTCATGCACATTAAATTTTGAGGAGTCTACTCTAAGTAAAGTTTAGTTGAATATCACCTTTTGGTCGAGATTCAACTAACCTGATGCACTAGCAAAAGCCAGCATAACGGCTCCCTTTAGCACAACAGGGTTTCCCTCCCCCCCCATACATCCCTATGCCTCCCGAAAATCCGTATTGAGGGAGGCAAGAGAATCTCCTGAACAGTGACAGGAGAAATTTCTCCTTCCGGCAAGCAGAAGTAATTGCACTGAATGAAGAGCACATTGTTGAATTCCTCCTATTATTATTATTTTAATATGTAGAATGTACATATCACAATGTATAGCATCCATAGAATGCTTTAGTGTGCAGTCGTATACACCAGGGCCCTCTAGATTTGCCCTCTAGATGTTGTAGACTACAGTTTCTATCATCCTTGGCCATGGGTCTTGCTGACTGGGGTTGACGTGTTTGGAGTCCAACAACATACGGAGGGCACTACATTGCCTAACAGTGTCTTACACTGTTACTCCCAGGTAACTGAAACTGGGAATCCCAAGTTCAAAATGCAGTGTTCCACTCTCAGTTACCAAGTAATGTGTCAATGTGCCTCTTAATAAAGGTCATTTAGCCGATGAAAGTTTTTGGTGTTTGCTGCCTCTTCCCTGGCGCTCCTGCCCAAACAACTGATTTTTCCATGATGCACAATCAGGAAAACTAGTAAGCCCTGCTTTCCATAGCCTAAATGACCCTTGTATGATTCTGGCAAAAGGTGACTTTCCAAGGAAGTTATTTGTGCACTGACATAGCTTTTCATTTTATTGAGCGCCATGTAACATTTCCTGAAACTGGCAAGGTCTAGTGATTAATAGTCAAGAGGAAGTCTAATCCATTTCAATTATCTTGGCTCTTTCTCTCTTTTGTTTTAGGTCTCCAGGCTGATCTTTCGACAGTGCCACATGGCACTTGGCCCAACGTATTTTATTTCAGAGAGGAGAATATTATCATCACTGGGAGTCATTAGTAAGCACGTCTCGGACGTGGAGCATAATAAACCTTTAGCCATTAGGCTAGCTTATTACCAGAGAGTGCCCTCCCCTACTGATACAGATTGCTGTTTCACACTAATCAGGGATTGATGGGGGCAGCAATTCCATGTCAGCTGGGCTTTCTGATAGTTCATTATACAGATGCCAGTTAATTCAGACTGCAGCTGGCTGGCTCCTGACACTTGCTAATGATGATCAGCAAACTGCTTTAATAGAGGCCTCCCTATGCTAAACATACAGTATCATTGTTTAGAATAAATAGCATGGTCTTATTTTGAAAGCAGGAAATTACTATGGCACTTGAGTCCCTCACACACTGTCCCAGCTTGATGGGTGCACAGGCTTCCTGAACTGGTGGGTTTCTTCATTCACTCGACTGAAAGCAGACAGGTGTGTGTGTGTGTTCTTTCCACCCAAGTGAATGGTGCTGTTGGATGGTAATCCTTTCTCATCAACTTGTCCTTTATTCTGTCTGTGAGTTCTTCTGGTTCCCATCTTCCCCACCTAGGGACAGAGGAGAAACACAGTTCCATTTGCATTTAAAGGTGCAAATCCTACCTAATCCACATTCGCTGCAATGAGAGAACAACCAAAATGCAGCTGTTCTTCAAAATTTACACTTCTCCCAATTTTGCAATGCAGTTCTTCAACCAAAGTAAAGTGTGCATCAGAATGCATATATTAGTGAAAAATAACAAAGAAAAGTTAATTATGATAGAGGGGATTGCCCTGCAAATATGTGTGTTTTTGAAAAACTACATACATGAATGTGCATATTAGGAGAAATTCACTCTAAAATGCTGTTGGATTTTCATGAGGTCTTGTGGGGGGGAAGTGGGGTTTTCCTTGCAAAGTGATATGTAAATATGGATAACTGAACTTAAGACTGAAAAAAAAAAGAGGAACCGAGAGGAACCAAAATGATTCACCCATCCCCATCCACACCGGGGGCAAGCAAAACTCTATCACCAGATGCCAGGGATCAAGAGAGCTTGTTTCCTGTTCCATACAACTATATGGCTCATGAATATATTGCATCTTTGTAAGGATTTTAACTGTAAATCACTTTGAAAGCCACATGGGGACTGAAAAGTGGGGTATACATAAAATAAACAAGCCGGCCAGATTCATATGTGCAAGGAATGACAGGATACAATCTGTGATAAAAATTAAGTGCAGCCGAGTCCTCTTTATAAGACGTCATTGCACAGTTCAGAGCTTAGCACCTGGAGTTCAGTGAGACTTACTTACAAGTAAGTGTGCATGGAATTGCAACCTTAATCCTGCTGCGTTCCATTTCTGTGCTTTACTGTAGATGGGCTTAGCTTGGTTTTTCCCATCTCTGTGATTTGATGCTACACTAGCCAAATGATGACTACAGATGATGGCTGTCTACTTGACAGATCTGGGAACTGCAGAAATGCTTTCTGAGAGCAAAAGTTTTGAAAATGGCTGGCTGGGAATACCAGATATCGAAAGTTATAAGAAGGCAAGAGTCATTTCATGGTTATTGCAAAGGAATAAAGAAGAGAACATATATTATAGACTTATGGAAGAAATAGCAGTCAGAGTAGACCTCTGAAATTTCCTACAGATGTCTAAAACTGTTAGGAAAAAGCTTTATAATGGACTGAGTTACATCATAAACATTTGCTTGTCAGCATGGGATAGTTGCAAACAAGCTCTTGCCCCAGGAACTCATAGTATCATTGTCCGAGGATGAGAAATTCAATCAGACATCTAGGGACTTTTCAAAAATAGTAAGAAAAATAAAAGCTTATGAAAAAGTGGTAATGAAATTATAAACCAATTCCCCTTTTCAGTTTTTTTTAAAAATAAGTTGTTATCTGAACAGATTGGAGCAAAGAAGTGAGTTAAGGCAAAGCAAAGCTGAATTTGAAAAATTGTTAGAAAAAAGGGAGAAAACTGTACTTTACAAATCTATTAGATATGAATTAAAAGACAATATTCTGGAAAGTTTTGCAGAAGTGTTGGTTTTGTGATAAAGAAAATGGAGACTTTTGTCAGAAAGCAGAAAACTATTGGCTCATGGACATAACTTTTATTTTAAAATATTTATCTAATTTCAGTGGCAGCTGATTCCCCGATACATTGTCATGTTGTTGTTGTTGTTTAGT